AGCTCGTAGTAATATGGCTTTACTTTATATACCTCTTTTTTATATACCTCCTTGTGTCTTTTTTAATGTATTTGGTATGGCTCAGTGGTCTAATGTATTTGGTATGGCTCACCTACTTAGAACAAGCTTAGCAAGGCACAGGGACCACGGTTCAATCCCCCAGCACCACATGCCAGCCCCGCCCCCTGGTGGGCTGAGCTGACCACACACACACATATAAATAAATTTTAAATGTATTTGGTGCAGGGTCTGCAAGGTCTCACTACATAGATCAGACTCATGGTGATTTTCTTATTTTCAGCCTCCCAAGCACTGAGATTACAGGCATATGCCACCTCACCATCTCGATGTGCCCCACCTAGGATTGAACCCTGGCCTCTGGGTGCGCTCTGCCTAAGCAGGCACTTTAGTGCTGAGCTGACCGGCCTTCTCATTTTGAGATTCTTAATCAGGCTGGCCTTGGTCTCCCAGTTTCCCATGTGTCACCACACCTAGCCCTCCCACCCCTATTTTTTGGAGGGTCTGACCCAGCTGATCAGGCCTCAAACTTGAGGTCCTCTGGGTTCATCTTCCTATGCTGGGTTTACAGGCGTACCCCACCACACCTCACTCCTAAACCCAAATTTCAAATGAAGATCAGGCAAGGAAACTTGAGGTGAGGTACAACTTTTAACGAATATAGAAGCAAAAATTTTTATACTTTTATTAAACCCATTGCCTCTGCTGAGCTACCCAGCCCTTTTTAATTTATTGAGTCAACGTTGCCCAGGATTGAATGCTCAGCTTCTCAGTGCTGGGATTACCAAAGTGAGTTACCAGGCTCTGCACTCAAGTAGATCAGATTTCAGCCTCCTGATCTTACCCTAGAAGAGTGAGCCCTGGAAGTGGGAAGCTGATCCCAAGCCCTTGTTTATCCAGTGTTCATTCCTTCAACTTGCCTGCCTTGACTTCACCCTTGCTGTTCTCCCAGACCCCACGCCACAACTGGATGTGACAGAGGCCAACAAGGAGTTCATGGAGCAGAGTGAGGAGCTATATGACGCACTGATGGACTGTCACTGGCAGCCCCTGGACTCAGTGTCTTCAGAAATACCAGCTGTGATGTAGCAAAGACAAAAGCCAAAGCCACGTGGACTGTGGGAAGATATTTTTTTAATGTGAAAACCTTTTCAGAAATGATTTGTAAAATTTTAATAATTTTCCTGATATTTCCACAACACTTTCATTTGATAAGTCATTTGAGTGGAAACCAACTGTTGGGCAAAGTTTAAGCTATTTCCTGGGCATTCACACTTGCGAAGCAAAGTACAAGGATCATGGGCCTGTTTCCCAAAGCCCAGAATTCACTAACACCTGTTTTGTCAGCCCGCATATTTTAGGGCACTCACAACAGACTGACCTCAGGTCTAGCATCCAAAATAAAAGGTACAGGTCAACATGAGTAAAATTGAGCAGTGACAACCAGAACAGCCTTAAGCTGGAAACCATGGCGAGGCAAGAAAATCGCCTGAA